AAACAAGTCTGTCCTTCCGGGCTCTGAGGCCTGTCTTTACGACTCTCCTCAGCTCGTACTGAAACACCAGGGGGAGGAACTTTGACCAGCGCTAGTTAGCTACCAGCTAGCTGCTCTCTCTATTATTTTCTTATTTTGTGTGCTGTTGCATATGCAGAGCAATGTGGTTTATTTATTTACTGAGCTGGCTGTCGCTGCTCATCCAGATATCCTTCGTCACGTTAGCAATAGGTAAGTGCTTGCTGAAATCCCCCTGCAGCTGTTAGCCTAGTTAGCTCATATTTGCCTGCTAATGCTAGCGGATCAAGTCAGCAGATTAAGGTGCGCCAGCGAGTGATAACTGAGCTCCGCTTTGCCAACAGCTATCGACTCAAAACTAATAATAAAATATGCATGTAAGCCGTGTTAGTGAACGAAGCAGAGTCCTGAAAGCTACCTACTGGCGTCTGGGCTAGTTAGCTTTAAAGGACAGGAAGTTAAGAGGAAGAGCATTGATTAAAAAAAAAAGATATCATTAGATATTTTGTAATGACTACCTTTAAATGTAAACAGACAATCTTTATTAGGTAAATGTTCAAATTTTCTAATTTCAAAGTGTTTTTATTTTGGGCCAGTAGAATCACTTTCTCTTTGTCTTCAACTCCTAATCGATACTAACTGATCAGCCGATTCAGCAGCACAGAGTTCGGCATATTTTTGTAATCTGGTGTGAAGACGGACTCCAACTGCAGGATTCATGCTAATCTAACGTGAAGGCTTTAAATTACGCTCATGTATTTCTGTTTACATCAGAGAGGAGGATGTTAGCGCAGGAGAGGAGCAGCCTACATGTACGAAACTTTTAATGAAGGCTTGGCCCAAAGCCAGAGGTCCGTCCACGTAGACTTTTACCTGGCCACGTAACACCTACTGCATGGCACGCTCAGTCATGTGACCTGAGTGTAATACTGTCAGCAGATGAGAAAATAAAACAGCAAATATTCATGACGTATATTGTTTTCATTTTCAATCAGACAACTCATGAAATGAGTTATCTCATTGTGTCCTCATTTTTTATAGATCAAGGCCAGCGTACGCCAAGCTTAACTGTTTATTAAGTGTTCATTAGTTTTAGAATTATTTGTTTTAATATTTTTGGACATGTAACAGTGTTTGTTATTAATGTTTAAGGACTATAGTTTGAGTAAGTTTAATTGTGTGTGCAAGCTGCAAACACATGGCCTTCAACACACAAAGCCATTACTCATAACTCAGATGCTTGTTCTGATTAATAACGCATAACTCCTATTTAAAAAAAAAAATCATACTTTAGCCAATAGTGGTTATAGAAAGCTGTTATATTTAGTGAAAGAAGTACAGACATGTTTTATGTCTTGGCTTCTCCCTCACAGGTAGTATCCAGTTCACACGTATTGACAAGTCTGATCAATTTCCTGTCTGTTTGGCCTTCCTTCCACATGAGCTCAGTAACTGTGGGTCGTGTCAGTGTTGCTCAAATGAACCTACATTATTTGGTCCGTCTTTGTTGCTCTGCCACGGCTGTTCACGGGAGCTAGGTATTGAATGTCGATAAAGCCTTTGCAACAAATCTTGAAAAATATCACATACTCAAAGTTTGCCTTCAGTAAATTTTAGCTGCTCAGGTGTTGACTCCTTTCTCCTCGTGGCTCCAAAACCTAAACTGTACCACCTGCTTTTCCTAAATTTATATGTAAATGTTTTATTTCTTTATTTTTTTAAGCAGAATGATTTACAGCAAAAGCGACAGAACAAATTTAGCAGTCTATAAAAAAAACAAATAAAAACAAAAACAACCCTAAAAGTAACGGTGTCTTAACCCCCCCCAAAGTCTTCTTCTTTGGTTGCTCATTACCTTTCATTTTCTCCCAGCTGCTGGCCTCTACTACTTGGCTGAACTAATAGAAGAGTACACAGTAGCCACCAGCCGAATAATAAAGTACATGATACTGGTGAGTATTTGGGTATAACTTAATGATGAGATTGTCTTTAGGTACTTGTTTTAATGATATGCTGTACATGCAGGTCAACAGTGGTTTTTACAGTTTCTGTGGATGTGTCCAGTTCTCTACAGGGGTGCTGGTATGCCTCTATATGTTTGAAGGCTTTCCAATGTTGATGGTGGGAGTCGGCCTCTTCACAAACCTGGTTTATTTTGGACTCCTGCAGACCTTCCCCTACATACTTCTGAGCTCCCCAAACTTCATCCTCTCCTGTGGTAAGCGTAACACGCATTTGCCTTGAATTATTTGGTAAAACTAAGCAAATACAATCTGAATAGGGGGGAAAAGTTAACAAATCAATAAGGATGCCATCTGCTATTAACACTGATCAGCCACAACTGCTTTAACTGTGTTTTATTGATCATATCATTACCAACCAATATTACACTGGAAAGCCTTGAGTTCTGGTAGTGGCCTCCACTGGCAGGATAATGTGCTTCACTGCACAGCAAACACAACAAACAGCCTGAAGTTTTTTGTTCACAGGGTTGCACTATAAAGCCAGATTAATGGCTTGGCGAGCTGTGTCAAGCTTAAAGAAAAGGTTTTTTGTGTCACAAAAGCGGCTCTCTTTTTCTTGGCTAAATCGCCATGGTAACTCATGCCGAATACTGATTCTTGGTTGGAGCAAAATCATGTTCAATTTCAGATTTAAAAATCACCTGGAAGCGCCGCATTTTTACTGTTTCTTTAATTTAGAGCTCGTTTTAAGTGCATTAAAGATTCTCTGTATTATTTAAATAATTAAATTGTTAAGCTGTACTTTACTACAACTGCTGAGTGAAGCATAAACTGTTTTGCAATGTCACTGGAATGTGCATTTATTAATTTGGTGATGCAGAAAATGTGTAAATGTTGTTGTGCTTGATTTGAATCTGCTGCCAAGTCTCTTTTACTCTACATGAAGTGCAGCTACTCGAACAGAGAACACGCATCAAGAGTACGTGCTCAGTCAAATTAATGTTGCTTTGATCTGCTGACAAGCTTCAAGTCAATTTCTCCTTTATTAGGCATTGGGACAGTACCATTTAGTGGTTTAATTTGATCATTTTAAGGTTTCAGAGCTCTAATGTGCAGCTGTCACCTTAGAAAATAAGCACTCAGCATACTCAATGTTAAAATAAATAATTTGAATAAAGATGTTATCATTTTAACACTCTGTGTGACAAATCCCATATGTTGATGTCATTGTTCTGCAACATTAATCTACTATTTGTAAAAATCTTGCATTTTTGATTACCATTTTTATCATCATCATCATCATAATCTAATAATGTCTCTGACTGGAGTAGGTGTCACTCACAGGGATCATTTTGTGCTGAAGAAGAGTCACATGACCTGTGAAATGCTCCTTTATAACTGAGTGCTGAGGGCCTGAAGCAAACTTAACAGGAGTTTTTATAGCTGCCATTTGTGATAACTGTTGTTGAGTCAGCTAAAGTAAAGAAAGCCTGGCTTTGTCAGACTTCTTGTATAGTACACCCCTCTGGCCTCCAGACTCCCCAGATCCAAATCAAAGGAAACGTATGCAGCATATCCTGAAACAAGCCCAATCCACTTCCCCAACTCTAACTTTCCACTACCAACAGCCTCGTGCCAGGATAGGTCAGAGCTGTTTTGGTGAAACAGTATTTTGCAGGAGGTTTTAATATTTTGGCCTGGTTGCTGTGTGTACATCTAGTCATTTAGTCCTAATATGGACTTCTTACACATTAAACTGTGAGTCAAATGACAGCGTTTGTCAGTGTAATGAGTGTAAATTTTCTCGCTGCAGTGTTGGTGGTGGTGAACCATTACATGGCCTTCCAGTACTTTGCACAAGAGTATTACCCATTCTCAGAGGTAATGTAATCTCAGATTCACAATACTGTGTACAGTTTTGGATATAGATCTTTTTATATTTCTCTTTCTTGTATAATCATGTGCCATTTATGCTCAACTGGACATAGGTGCTTGCCTACTTCACCATCTGCCTGTGGGTGATCCCCTTTGCCTTCTTTGTGTCGCTGTCTGCAGGAGAAAATGTTCTCCCGTCCACCATGCAGCAAGGAGGTAAGTCTCAATCCTGCCGTTGCTTTTAACAGCCCGGCTAGCTCAGTCGGTAGAGCATGAGACTCTTAATCTCAGGGTCGTGGGTTCGAGCCCCACGTTGGGCGTGTTTTTTTTTGCACTTGCTCTTAGTTTCTGAAATACATTGTAAGTTTTTAAAACCTGTTTCCTGCCTTCTATGTGTCAGTGCAGTCAGAGGACTCTTGTTATAAATGACATTTCCTGTTTCCCCCTCCCCCTTTTTTTTTTAGATGATGTAGTATCTAATTACTTCACCAAGGGCAAACGGGGGAAGAGGTCTGGGATCCTCCTGGTGTTCTCTTTCCTGAAGGAGGCAGTGCTGCCCAGCCGACAGAAAATGTACTGAGGGCTTGAGAGTCTGGGGCGCTGCCTCGGGGACGGTGGGGACCTGCGAGTACGTGTTGAAGATCAAAGGGGAAGCAGGAAGGACAGTGGAAATTGTTTCTGGATGGGACTAAAACGACGCTGTGGCCAAATGGGGAAGAAAGGCATGTTAAGAAATAAATAACTTGAAAAAGGACGGACCAATGAACAGATCAGAGCTTCCTGCTGGACGAGCCCGGCGAGTTTACCCAGGCCACGTCTGTCTGTCTTTGTCTTTCTGTCTGTACTGACTGCCAGCAACACCCACCAGAGACCTCTTTGTGGGGATCCTATGTGTAGCGTGATGCTTTCATGTCAAGTTGGACTCATTTTTTAAAGCTTTAGTAATAAAATATCTACACGTGGGGTTTAAAAAATAACAACCAGAGATAAATACTTGTTTTTCCTTTCTGTCGTACGTGTGTCAAAGGCCTCACACTTCATCTGATTCCATACACAGAGTAGTGTTAAAGATAGGAAGAAATTCTGATGAAGAGGATTTCCTAGATATGAGGCAGATCAGAGGTACTTTATGATTAATTGCTGCTGTCCAAACTTGGATTTTGGTTTAAAAAAAAATGGCATATTAGTTGCTACAGGTCGCCAAACAAACATTTTAATTAGATTACTTGAAATGAAGAAGGACAAACTGTGGAGAAGTCCTGCTCTGTTTTACAAAGTATGACATGGTATAAACAATATCCCGCCTGGCATATAATATCTCAGAAAATGAATTCAGCAAAGGCACTTGTGAAGGGTCACTTTTAACTATTGAAGTGAGCTACGAGGCACATTTCCTGCACTGGATCTCAGCATGCTCATCAGCATTTGGCCACAGAAACAATAAGATTTCATGTGCTTCTACTCATAAACCACCAGCACTACATATTCCTTTGTTTGTTTTGTTTTTGTTTTGGACTGTTTGTAAGAATTTAAACTGACATACCTGACATCAAAGAGAAATGTAAACACTTGTAGAGATCAAACTTTTGCAGTGACTTTTTTTAAGCTCACTGCTGTTGGGGAGAAAAGCTGCTCAGTGTGGTATAAAGAGACAAACATTAAAAAGGATAAAATTCCTTTTATCAATTCCCCAGTGTGATTCACTGCAGGCTGATATGCTCGCAGCTGTGTAATTAAAAGAGTTTAGTGAAATAACTTTGGATTAAATGGTTATTTTTTTACAGGCTGAAATAAAGGGGACAGAAACACTTACTGATGTTTATTATTTACAGTTAAATCAGGTTATAGCTTCCAGTCTGTTACGTTGTATTTGCACGGTGATGGATTTTCTAACTGCTGTCACGCCCCGACCTGTCAAGTGTGTGTCGGGGCAGATGGCTTTCTTATTTAGATCCCATGTGGCCTAGATCACAGAGTACACCCGGTTGATGCTAGTGTGCACTTTGACCCCCATCAAGGTGTGAAGTGCTCCATGAATTCAAAGGAAGGAGGAGAAAAAATAATGCATGCAGACACACACACACACAAGCCTTCAGCTGACAGGCCACAGCTCAGAGTTCACACTCTAATGCTGTTGACAAGCCCTCACCTGGATCCCGATTCACTTCCCTGGGGGAGATGAGTGAGAGTGCAGGGATACACCTGTGACAGGTGACCCAGTTCACGGAGGTTTTGTCACCTTTCGTTCACCCCTCTGTTCACCCCGCATTTATAAGTTCAGCTTCAGGAGCGGGTGGCATTTTTAATTTTTGTCACTTGCAGCTGAGATTGCGGTGCAGGTGGAAGAGTGGGTTGGCCACCAATCGCAGGTTCAATCCCCCCGGCCCTTCCCACACAGAGTATCTCCTGATCTATGCTGTGGGTGTGAATGATGACGGTTGCTGGCATTTATTTGAAACTCTCAGGTCTAAAAAGTAGACAGGATAAAGAACATTTAACACTCCGGGATGCCTGGATATTCTCAAAGAGAAGGTTCAGTTTTGTGCCTGCTGAAGCTCTTGAAAATCGGCAACGTATCCGTTTTCCCAAATGCTTTTCAATTTCGGGGGGTTGTTTCCAACCAGGGCCCAAAGATTACTAGACACTTTAAATAGTTCCAAAATAAGAAAAATAGCAACAACAGCTTTATGTATTACTTTTTTATTGATATTTTTTACTTAAGTTGATTTAAAAACTATTAAAGGGGACCTTATAACTTTCAAGTTATGAGTACATGTACAGGTAATCCCCTGGAGCAAACGCTCATGTTTCAGAGAATTTCTTTCTGCTCATGCCTCAGTGTGATGTTAATGGGATCAGATATTCCTAATCTAGTCATCTCACTTACATCCATCTGGTTCTGGCCACCAGCTGTCTAAATCTGCTGACGAGGGGCTGCCAATCAGAAGAATGGTGTCCTTAAATGGAGAGGAGCTGAGAACGGCTTGTTTCAGACATGATGATCTGAGGTGCTGCACTAATGTTTAGTATAAGGATTATTATGATCTATGAGTCATGCAAAGCTACCCTAGTAGAGTTCAAGAATGAAAAAATATGAAGCTGGAAATGAGCTTAATAGTTCCACTAAATGTTTTTCACATATGTTGATGTCAAATGTTTCTATTTGAAAAAGCTATTTGACAAACTATAAACATAGTGACACTCAAGCTTTTAATGCATTTCTTCGGAGCCTGTTCCCCAGTTTCAGGTTAAATCTCTTCAGCCAAGACTGGGAAAGTCAGTACTGTCTAAACTCCAGCACCTCAACCAGACACATGGCCACCTCTGTCCAGGGGGAGGTGTTGTGCTCCTGAGGGCATCCTTGATGCTTGACCTCCACGATGTTCTGTGGCTCAAAGTCCTGTGGCCAGGTGATCCTGGAAGGGAAGGCTCTGGGAAACAACACCCTCTCAAGGACATCCAGAGGCAGGTTAGGAGCGGGGTGAGGCGTGCTGTCCCACCTGGTGGTGTACTGAAGTTGCCTGCTGGAGCTGTCTCTCCAAATGGTGACGCTGTCACGGAGGTCGGGTTCTGCGAGGGGTTTCTTTGGCTGGAGGCCTGTGAAGATGCTCCATGGTTTGAAGGGTGGCTTAGGAAGGGTGTTCCTGTCCTCTTTAATGCCTTCAGGCTGCTGCTCCTCACAGTGGGCCTTTGCATGCTTTGACTCACAGCTGCTCTGATCTGCTAAGAAGCACTTGGTGTGATACTTGCTCACCTGCCCCCTGAGGGAGAAATCCTTCAGGAGGGCCACGCCTTTCTTCTTTGCCCACTCAGCCACCTTTTCATCAGTGAGCGTCTAATGATGGAGGGAGAAAGTGCAATCAGCATAAGAAAGCTGTTCATAAAAACCTTGACTCTACTATAATAAAGCCCCCATTTACACTGCAGAGGCCTTCCTGCCTCACGGGAGCCGCAGTTTTATACGTTATGAGCCAGTTTAAGACAAGGCGTTGATAATGTATGTGTATATTCTTTATATTTAAAGAGTATACACATACACATAATATTCTATTTAACTTTCCATGTCATATAAACAAACTCCTATAAACTAACCTTTCTGGTGAGATTATTCTGTTTGGCCATGCCCACAAGATCAGTGTATAAGACCTGAACCAGCACTCTCTCCTTTCTTTCTTTCTCTTTATTCACATGCCACATACAGCTCTTCAGATACCTGCCCACACACACACACACACACACACACAAAACAAGAGATCTGTTTAAAGGAAGTATGTTTCAACTACAGCAGTTTAAACTTTTATTTTGGTGTGAGCTCGCTCTACCTCGCTACCTTCCTGTGGCACCAGATGCAGGCTGAGTCCAGAGGTGTCTGCCCCAAGCTGTCCTTGGCCAAAACATCTGCTCCGGCCTTCACGAGGATCTCTGCACAGTCGAGAAAGCCCTCAGAGGCGGCCAGGTGCAACGGGGTCTGCCCCAAGTCTGTGGTGCTGGTTTGAAACACCCCCCCCAAAAAACCTCAGCTTTATTTATTATCATCACCATCATAATTATCATCATTGCAATAATTATCTCTTTTAAAAAGCTTTTCTTTGGTCATTTGAATGTTGTGTATGCAGCAGCTGAGCGTGAACAATTTCATATTTCTAAAATAACCCAAAATAGAAAATACAGCTGCCTACGCAGCCTTCTTACGCGTTAACGTCGGCGTCGTGCTCCAGCAGGTATCTGAGACAGGCGCAGGTTCTGGGGAAGCTCTGGTAGGACAGGACCATGTGGAGGGGCCGGCGACCTTGGGAATCACTGCTGTTGATCCACTGTTGCCTGGACTTCACCAGGAGCTGAACATCACCCAACTCGCCATAAAGGCAGGCCACGTGGAGCGGCGGCAGACTCTGGAAGATAACGCTTCTACTCTTAGCACTGCCCTTTAATTTTTGTTTTTATTTTTTAAACTTTTCTTCTAAAATGACCGCCATGCCTTCAAGGTCTTTTATATTTAATTTTATTTTTTACAGAGGACGATTTGATGTCACTGCAGGAAAACGAAAAGGTGTAATTAAGAATATTAATAACAGTTTAGATATTTCAAGTTCAGGGTCCTTGGCCTGGAGAAAATTAAAAATGACTTGATTTTCTTTGCCTGTTTCATCATAGGTAGTGATGTATTTGGAAAGTAATGTTTCTCAAAAATTACATTTTCTCAAAAAAATTTTAAATCCCAAGAATATCATTAGCGTTGTTAAGATAGTTTTGGAATAAGTGTATGAGTGGGTAAAAATTTGATACCTTTTTGTGCAAATGTTTAAGAAAAGACAACATGTTACAGTTTTGCTAATGATATCTTGGTCACAGCTCATTTTTATATACACAAAGCAATGTTTTTCAAAGTTCCTCCAATTGTTGTGACAAATTGAAAATCTTCTTTCAGTCCCTTAAAAAGACAAACTTCTGACTTTTCAATATCAGCAGTTCTAATACTTTGGTCCCCCTAGGAGTCAACAACTAGCTAGCAGACACCAGCTAGCAAGAACTTCTGAGCTGTTCCAGCTGGCTGATTTGGGTAGCTGATTAGCCAGCTGCTGAGCATGGACAAAAGTTTGAATGAGTCCACATAATCTGATCCAAACCAGATAAATGGTTGTTAGGATTATGAGGAGGCTCTTGGAAGATTTTCTCCCCTGTAAGGGGCTCCTTTTCCCCAAAAGTCTGAGAACCACTGCTCTAAATCACTTACAATAGCTAGTGATTCACCTTAAGTGTTAATTCTATTTATATTTTAGTTTTCTTTACAAATATATGAATTCCTTTTAGAAATCTGTAATCCCCTCCCTGATTTCTCTTAGTTGTTCTGAATTACCTTTCAGTGTGTTTATTGGCTTGATAGGTATTTTTTTAAAAAAATTCCTTTTAACTCTTCTGTGTAAGGTGATCACGAGTGTTTTGAAATCAACACTTCTCACTCTCTAAGCGTAATATTTTAGGCTAGGTGACAAATCCTCAAGATTTTATGCTTTCGGGTACCCAACACGTTCCTAAATGATGACATCAGAAAAAGTAGAACACATGAATCGCTTTGGAAAACACTAGTTTGCGTCCTTTAACTGCTGGTTAATGTTAGGAATAAGGTTATGGTTAGGGATACGGTTAGGCTTAGGGCTGGAACGTCTATTACCGCGGGACCGTCATTCCACTGGAAGTCAGCCATAACCCGGCGCGGACCATAAGAACGCGGAAGGTCACCTTTCGCTTTCCTCAGGAACGCCGCGGGACGTGATAAAACGTCGGTATGCTACGCCTCGGGAGTGAGAATGGGCTGTTTGAAATATGCCTAAATAATAAAATCTGTTATCATTATTATTAATAATAATGCCTATGTTTTACCTATTTTTCCACAGGATGTTGTAATGTAGAGACAACTACTGCTTTACATTTTCTTATGCACAAAAGTGGTCTTAAGATTTTTGAAAGTCCTAATGTTGATCAGCTGTTAATAACTTTACCTGTTGGTGCAGGGAGAACTGGTTCTTATTCAGATCACACTTCTCCGGGTTCCCAGGAGCCACAGCTGGGAACATCTGCCTGCTCAGCGCATCATGGGACTGTTTCCTGCAAGATTAATCCACGCAGAAAAAATGCTGTGAGAAGTAAGCCGTGAAACCTCATCACATCCGAGACATTTAAGCTAAATATTTCCTTACATATCCCCCCTTTTAAAGTTGCTATTAGCCTACTCTTACAAGATATAGTTTTCTATTAAAACGCTCGTTACAACGTTTAAAGCGGCTGTTTTGACCAGCCCACGGCGTGAATTTACACTTTAAGTGCATATGCACTGAAAAACAGCACCCAGGCTTTCAGTATTGACAAAGTTTTTACCCTTTTTTACATCTTCCACGTCTCCGTTTTCCGGGCTTGTTGACAGGTTCCATGGTTGCCATGGAAATGTAAGCGGGAAACTAACCCTGCTTTACGACATCCGGCGCAAGAAGGAGAAAAAGCGTTGAATTGTTATATCCGGTAACAATATGTGTTAAATTATTATTTTTAAAACTGTAGTCATGCTTAGACAGTGTTTTTCAACCGATTTAAAGATGTGATGTCACGCGCTGTTCGACACGTGATTTGTATTCAGATCAATGAGTGTATAAAAGTTTTCTACAGTCATTGGTCATTCAAACTTTTTAACCCCTAAAATAGGGGCGACAAACATATGTCCCCAGGATCGCCTCTGGAACAAGTGAGCGCATAAATTCTGGACTTTTAACTATATTTTCCCACTGAAAAAGACCTCTCCCATTCCCATTAAGTAACACTTAAACAATAGAAAATACAGAAAATGTCTGTTTTTTTTTCATTATCAACAATAGAAATTTCTTGTATACAACGAGGCTACAGTAAAAAAACAACAACAAAGAATTTAAGAGAAGAAAAGTAGTACATTTTCTATGAATTCAAGTATTTTTGTTTTATAATTACAGGACAGTCTGGGCAATGAGATACCTGAACTTTTTCTTTAAGTTTAGACTTTTATGTCCTACAGTTTAAGCCCAAACAGTCGCACTGACTTATTTGTTCATTTGCCGGAGCAGTTTTTTTTTGTATGATGTAGAAGAGCTGGCACATACTGTTTAACTTGCTATTCTTTTTCATATCCTGAGATATCTCAGGATATCATATTTGTAATTTAACTTCTTTGCACTGACAGAAGGAGGAGATTCACTGGTCTGGCCCACAATGTAAAACGAGTTTGATACCCTTGCTTTAGACATTAGATACATTCAAGCAAATAATTTTTTCCTCCATATAATTCAATAGAGGTGGCAAACATTAAGCACTACTATCCTAACATTATAAATAAATTCCATTCTCATTTTTATCACAATAAGAGCATGTGAATTAAACACATAAAACCATTTTCAAACTTATTAACATCAATTTTCTATTAGCTGGGCAACAGCTTGTTAACATGCACATCAGAGAGTGATAGTAAATCATTTTGTGATAGCAATACTGGCCAGTGTTTTCATTCCCTGCCTATCTTCCACACATTGTGCAGGCCTGGTCGCTCTCCTTCTCATATCTACATGATATACTTGCTCTTTTATCTTTTCAATAAAACTGAAATTAAAAGTCATTTCTATCACATTTGATAGCACGAGTTATGTCTGAGTGTAATAGCTTGTGACAGATAAAGGTAGATCAGTGGTTGCATGCATGGCAGAGGCGCACTTCTACCCTCTCACGCAGAGTCCACAGCTCTCTCCTCATATATCCCTGGTGTGCTCATATTGATAGTTCATTACGAGTCCCTGCTGGCTCTTGGCCTTAGCAAAGTAGATCAATCTTGCTCGTGCTGCGCAGGCCACATGTGAGGCCGATATAAATTAAACAGTTACTTTATGGTCTCCATATCTCTGTGGCAGCAGGCCTCTCTGATCACAGCTACTGACCAAAGTGAATGTGACGGAGTGCAACTCAGTAGACAGATACAGTATGTGCAGAGAAGGGAGAGTGGACACACTGGACAAAGGATGTTGAAGATGGAGCTGCCAGGCAAGAAGAAAAGAAGTGAGGGCAGATATGCTGAGGGTTGGTGTGACACAGATAGGGTGAGATGGTGGGAGATAATAAACTGTGGAGATCCCTAAAGTGAGCAGCTGGAATAAAAAGAAGATACAGATGTCACTAAGAACTCTGTGCCGTGTCAGAAATACTGAAGTGAATTAACAATTTCTGGAGCAAATTAGAAACACAAGCGTATAAATACAAGAAAAAGACCAAAACCAGTGGTGCATTAATTTTAACATTATAGAGTAGATTTCTTCTTCTTTCAGGGTCTCCATTATACCCTGTCCCTGACATCCTCCTCTGACACACCAACCCTTTGCACGTTCCCTTTCACTGCATCCATGAATCTTCTCTGTGGTCTTTCTCTCTTCCTCCTGCATGGCGGCTCAATTTTCAACATCCTTTGTCCACTATATACAATATAAAACAATACAATACAAATTAATTTATCTAGCACGTTTAAAACCAGGGGTACACAAAGTGCTTCACAAAGCAATAGACAATAAATGATTACACTGAGCAATGAAAAATTAAAAACAGTAAAATGAAGGATAACAAAAACAAATTAGTGAGTAGAGATAAGGAGAATACATAATAATCTAGGGAAAGATGCAGTAATTAAGAAACGGAGAGAATTAACACTATATCCACTGTCCCTCCTCTACACATGTCCAAAAAGAAGTCGTTTTTAGACAGCAGGGAGGCCAACAAGAAAGGAAAAAAGTACATCAGGTTTTGACTTATGATCAATACATTTGAGGACTTTTATTGTTTAGTTTGGTTCTTTTCATTAGACCTCTTAACAGTAAGATAGGAAAAAAATAGTGGATTAACATAACCTGGAAACAGAAAACTTATAAAACAGCTCACAGAACATCAAGAAAGACCTCTGGCACTGAACAGAAGAAAGAAACGAATCTATGAGGGAATCAGCTTTACCAAAACACAGATCCTGGCAAGTCCTTTGTCAGCTGTAGTGAGACAAAATGACTCATGACTCATCCTCTGTATTAGACATTTTAAATTCATTTCATTTCTTTTTGTAAATACTTTCCCCATTGTAAGAGAACAAAAAGTGGAAACACACAGGCACAGGTGTACTGATAAAAATCAGGCTTTGATTTTACTTCTAAATATTGCTTTAGTTAAAAAATGCAAAGCAAAGAAAACAAGATAACAAGTTGTGAGAAAGACAATTACCTGTGTACACAATGGAAGCAAAGAAAACAGGGACAACTAAAAAAAACTCAATACAAGTAATACAAATGAAAAGGACTGCTGCACCAGGCAGGTCAGTGAAAAGTCAAAGCCCACAGACAAAAAAGTATCTTAATCACTCTTCTTAACCTTTAAATTCAAGCACATAGCCATTCAGTCTGCCTTTACAAGCATTTGTGAATGAACGAATCGGTGTAAAGAGCCTACTGGGATTACTGGGTAACAGGATGCTACTGTTGCAACAAGTCAGTCTGTGAAATTTCTTTCCTCATAGATATTCAATAATCAACTCTAAGTGGTGTTATGGTAAAGTGGAAGTGTTTATGAACCACAGCAACGCATCCAAAAAGGGTAAAGTTACAGAGTGGGGCCACTGAGTGCTGAGCTGCAGTCACAGATCATAAGAATTATCATCAGCATGAAAACTGTGCACTGGGAGCTTCATGGCATGAGCTTCAACAGCTGAGCAGTTCCTGTAGGTGTAATCTGTAGGTGGTCCAGAAGATTTGTCCTTACAGTGTATAAATATATGAAAAAACAATATAAATCATGTTGTTTTTATGTTGTTATTTATGGTACAGTGCAGTGTTCATTATGCTGAAACAATTTAACCTAAAATAACTAACACAACAAACTAAACATGCACAGCAAAAATTAGCTTGGTGTGAAATCTTAAACTCTAAGGTTCTGCGAAGAGTATGGATGAATATTACCTAATTATACTATCATTATATAATAACAGTTTTTATTATTATATAATTGTTATGTAAATATAATTATTAAAGTCACACAAATACACTTCTTTCAGAGCTTTTGACCTCACATAACGATAAAAACATCATGAAAAATCACGAGTTCGTAACTTAACTAGCTTAAACGCATTTTTATTGACCCTTTTTCACATTCGTGACTCCTCCTTTCACTCTGTGGCGTTCTCTGTTAAAGCGATCAAGGTGAAGGGTCAAGGACGAGCCACCACCCGCTTGTCTCACCCCCCCCGTCTTTGTCACAACATGGCCTTGAAGCTTTCAGCTACTCTGGTGACGTAGGTTTGCGTGTAGAGAAACAGTGAGTATATGTGAACCTTGTGTGCGTGCGTGTTAATGTATGAACAGTGTTTGTGTGTGTGCACGCCAGCATGTGCCGATTAACAGTAAGAGAGCAGCACAGCCCCCCTGTGGCTTCAGCGGCTTCCTCTGACCTCGGTCACATGCCGTGGAGGTTGAGTGGAAACTTTAGTGTAGAGCTCTTTCATGTTTGACTTTCAGCACAAGTCCCTGGACAGTGACCCCCAGCATGACCATTTCCTTTTGACAGCTGAGTGTGTGTTTGTTATGTGCTGTCAAATTCTCTCTGTGTGCCCAGTAAAATAGCTATGTTTCTCTCTTTAACGTTGTAAGGTCTTGACCTTACTGTGTTGTGTTTGCCCTCAAATGACTAAACAAATTTAAG